GAATCTCAGAATGGAAAACAAAGAACTATTTCTTCAATGTAAGAAAGGAGACTTAGAAAAAGTAAGGTAAGATTTTAATCAGCGAGAAAAATTTAGTGCAAGTAAACCCAAATAATCAGACATTTGGATTTGACGTAACTATATTGTATTGTTTTTACCTATGAAGAACAGAGATTACACAGGATCAGCCATACACTGACTGAAATTAAAGGAAACTGATGCTATATACGATATCTAATAATCAGGAGTTGCTACACTTCACGTTTGTCAAATAGGCATAGGTCAAAAAATTGATATCCCTATCATGGTATTTTTAATATATACTGACCTGTAGTTGAATTTATGATTTTGTATGTTATGTAAAAAAAAATAAATAAATCATTTGTATATTGAACTTCGTCCACATAGATTATTTCAGTCAGGTTCCCAAGCGTTGCACGTCATAATATGACAGCTGCAGAAGTCATGATTCTTATCAGTGAAATCAAGAAGGTTAAAGTAAACAGAAGTAAATATGTAAGATAGGATTTCAAAAAGAGAGGAAAACTAAGGGGGAAAAAACTATTAACTAGTTGGATTTGTGTGCTTCACACATGGACCAAAATTTGGCCAAAAGTCTTTCAAAACTAATGACTCCAAGATGTGTCTTGTAGGCCAAGCCCACGCAAAAACTCGTATGCAGTATCAAGACTCCTTGCCTCCCATTTACAATGTTATTTTGTTGTATAAAGATGGTAATATACCATTTTCCTTGAACAAATTCCAAATTTTGTCTGTAGATGGTAATTTTTAAAATATTTTCATATTAAATTTTTTGTGGAAAAAAATTCTGCTCTTTGAGCATGGCAGTAGTGTCCTCCCTGGAGCAGGTGTTCTTCCAGCTATGTCATAAGGATAGCGCTATTAACCCTCATCGACCAGTGTAAATAAAGCAAGAGCCCTTTTTAAATGCCCACAGTCTAATCCAAAAGATCGTGATAATCACTGTTCTCAGCCTAAGTACACTCGGTGCTCTCAAGTTTCAGCTCTATCTTGCCATGCATACAAAGGTGAAGATAATGCTACCCGGGCCGTGTTGGAGAGCAGAGCCCCCCATCAACCTTCCCTCGGGCAGTGCCCGAAGGGCATGCACAGTCACAGCTACTTAGATTGATGAATGAATTTTGTAACATTGGGTTGGGGACTTCGTCTCTGGCGAGGCATATTTACTGTAAAGAATTACCCTAGTTTCTTCATAGCAATCATATGGATAAAAGTATTGTCATTAGGTTTATGTAAGTGGCCACTCTGCCAGGTGTGCAGCATGTAGGCTGGGTGCACTTGAATACTCAAGTGCAGTGACAAGACTCTTTGGAAATTTATTTTGTCAGCTTTTTTGCCATTCTCCTGTGTCCATATTTGTCTTTTGATTTGCTTTATCCAGATGATGATAGACTGATTTCCTTGCACAAATTCCATATCATATCTCTGTGTAGTAAGTAACTCAGTGCAAGAAAAAAAGTAACATTTTGTTATTTGTACCTTATATTTAATTTTTTGGTAATATTCTTTTTTTTTTTTTTTTTTTTTTTTTAATACAACCTGCACTGCCAGTCTCAACAGCCATGAATAGGATGCTGAGCATAGAAATGGCGTCCTCCCAGGAGCCGGCGCTCTTCCAATCATGGCTTACACACATTACATTCCACACTCGTTTATCAATGGGAATATTGCAAAAGCTCATTTCTAAACACAAAATAAATCTAATCACCCACCAAGAGGTTTATGCACACGTAGCAAGCCTTTTCCATCAGCCTGGCATTCACTTATGACAGCAAATTGTGTCGCCCAGCCCACAGTAATTTTTAACCATGACAGCATGTACATGTTGCCCGGCTCTCATGCCAGATTTGTGCATGACATAATGGTCACATCACCCAGATTGAAGGGGTTACATCTCAAATGTATTCTGAAGAAAGTAAAGGCATAGCTTCAGTTACAGAAAACATAGCTCATGTTCAAAGTCCACTTGGTGCCCCCAAGTTTCAGCTCCATCTTGAATTCATACTGAGGTGAAGCCAATGTTTGTTAGGGGATATTGGGTGGGAAAGCCTCCCATCAGCCATCCCCTCAGGCAGTCAGGCACGCCCAGTGACGGCAACTTCGATTGCTGCATAAATTTGCAGTCATGTCATGTCACTGCTCCAGCAGATGTGAGTAAACCTTCACCATGTATAATATGGTAAGCTTGTCAACCTCTATAGTAACAATTAAGGAGCATGCCCAGTTGTGTCATGACAAATATCATTGGAGAAGATTAGCCAGCTTTTACCAGAGCTCAAAACATACAGGCTTTAATGGAGTTTCATGTCATCCTCTTGTGAACAATTCCTTTTATGATAACTGTTATTACTCCATTGCACTTGGGGCACTTAAACCAATGCATTAACCAAAGTACAGGCTCACCAGGTGTGAATGGCCATTTGAGAGGCTCCACAGTGCTATTTCAGTGATTTCAGTCATTGTTTACTGGGCTTTATTTCCAAAGTTATGAAAAATACAAACTAGGATTTGGAAGGCTGTATCTCTATATGAAAAGGCATACCATGTATGCCTTGAAGTAGTGAAAGCCATACAAAGCATCAAAACAATCTTGATGCCAGAGCTAGTACCAGAAACTTGGATGTAACACACATCCTGACACCAGAGTGCAATGATTTTAAAACAATAAATAAGTATATAGATGAATATATAAGTAAATTGGCCCACTAGTCAAGTCACGTCAGTTTAGTATCATCTCTATTTAAAAACTGATGGTCTAATTTCCTGCAGCTATTTTATTGTCATGTAATTAATACAAATTAGAATATCTGGTACTGTTTGACATCTGTCAGTTTCAAGACCACAGAGAGCTATTCCTCGTATTGCTATACCTCTTTCTACACTCCTGGACCAACTCTGTGTCCTTAGTTAGCTTTCCTCCAAGCCAGTCCTCCATATGAATCCAATCCAAGCTGTCAGTCTGCTAAGCCAACCATGCCACCCCCCTCCCCTTCCTCTTCTTCTTCCTCTTCCTCTTCCTCATCTTCTTCTTCTTCTTCTTCTTCTTCTTCTTCATCCCCTTTCCCTTTCTCTTCCACTTCCCCTTCCACTTGTGCTTACCCTTAGTCTTCCTCTTCCCCTGCCTTGCTTTTATCCTAGCTGAGCTTCTAGCAATATTTCTGCTACATACTAATAGGTACATGTTTTATTACTATGTAAATAATAATGTCTATAATTTTTCATGTAGTTATCTAAATGTTTTATTGAGACCATTTTTTGAATTATTCAAGTTACCAATACAAGAAATATACTCTCTGACATGTAAAATGTTCTCTAAAAATGAATACCATATTTACAACGGGAAAATGTTGAAATTGTGGGATAGTTTGACAAGTCAGGATGAGTCATTTATGTCCTTCAAGGCTGTCTAACCTGATACTAGTGCATTATCACATGTTGCAGCAGTCCACACATCACACCCTTGCAAAGGCCAGCAAACCTCCTCCACATATAATCTAGCATGATAGAGTCTGTATTTGTAGAAAAGGTATGAATGAAAATGAATATCTTCACTGTATAAGAGAGGTATTTGACCAGTTTTGATTATATCTTTGCCAGAAATGTATTCATTCTTATTCATACCTCTTCTACATTTTTCACAAAGACCATGGTTCAGACCCTGAATTCTTCATTGTTGATGGCAAAGAACCATGAAGGTCTACAAGTTCTATCCCCTGATATAAGCTGTATCCTCTTTCATGCAAGCAAAGTCCTTTATTCTGTATTTCAAATTTGTATTGTATTACTATAATATACTATGTATAGCATATTATCTGGGACAGAAGCACCCAATTGTCTAATGGTAGAATACATAAATTATATAACCTGTACTATATATGTGTTGATAGTTATGTAAAGCATTTATTTTACTGACACATGTAGGTTGTGCCAGTGTGTTATAGTGACATTTTTGCATTAATATTTCAAAATTACAGAGAAAAGGATTATTATATAACAGTGTATAATTATAATCACTGATAGCAGGAGGCTCTTGAGTGCCACACTCTGATTTTTTTCTGTAGAATTTTCTTAAGAAAATTTATCTTGAAGCATGGGCCCCATGCAGCAGATTTAGCAAAAATAGAATATTTAGTTTGGAAGTTAAACAAAATAGGATTTAACAGCATAGAGTAGAAGACCAGGGAGTACTGTTTCCTGCAATCTAGGCAGTACATGTAATAGGCACATTACAATATCCCATATGGCTTTGCTAAGTTCCAAATCTCCTAGTATTCTCTTTCAAAGAAAATATCATAAATGTCAAGCAGCAATTGATTGTATTATCATCATAGGGTATACATACTATGTATGCTGCAAATACCAAAAATAGTGCACAATAAAGATATATACTGGGGTCCTACCCAGGATCCTCATTAGCCATTTCAGGTGTTGGAAACCTGACCATGATCCTAGATTATCAATAGATAAGCCAGGATTAGTGATCATATGCCAGTGCTTCACATCTCGGTATCATTCATCCTTGACCTTATCAAAATTTCAATCACCCATGGATAAAATTTCTTGTTTCCTTTCTCTGGTAGTTTTCATTTACTCTCAGAGCATCTTTATTCCGCATTTACCCTCGGAGGAGTCACAGAAGAGGCGTTGATATGAAATGATACACAGGCAGTTGGTCCTTGATGAGGTTTTACAACTAACACTTTTGTATATGTTATTATCCTCTGTGTATGAGCATGGGTATGTGGGTGTTTGTGTATTTTTTGTTGATGTGTGTGTGTGTGTGTGTGTGTGTGTGTGTGTGTGTGTGTGTGTGTGTGTGTGTGTGTGTGTGTGTGTGTGTGTGTGTGTGTGTGTGTGTGTGTGTGTGTGTGTGTGTTGTGTGTGTGTGTGTGTGTGTGTGTGTGTGTGTGTGTGTGTGTGTGTGTGTGTGTGTGTGTGTGTGTGTGTGTGTGTGTGTG